ATGCTTTTTAAATATTACATTGTGAACTTTTAAAAAGCGAGTTTGCGGTCCTTTCTGTACCGCTATAATATGTGAGCAGGTAACATGGACCATAAGCCTCTAGCCTAGATACAAATAATAAAATTAATTAAAGATTTTTCATTCAAGAACTGGAATCAAAAATACGGTTATAATGAGTATATATGATGTTTTAATTGAGCTCTTGTTAATCTGGAACATATTTTATTTCGCTTTTATGATTAAAAAAGTTTCCACTTGATTTTATTTTTATTTTTTTTATTTATTTGTCACACCAACAAGATATACACTACAAGCTTTCTAAGAGTAGACAATAAATAATTTAATGCTAAGTGGCACCTCTTTTATAGGTGTAAACTACATGGATATTGAGCGTCATACTCACATTGCATTTTGCTTTATAAATAGTTATCTTAAAGGGAACACTACAATAAAAGCAAAACAAATCAGATTTACAAATACACATTTCTTAAACATTACGTTTTGCTTATGAAAATATAAAACAATACCAAAATTTCAATGCTAAAGAATTAGAATGTTATTATATAAAGAAAAAAAATGTTTATGAATAAATAAAAAAAATGAAAACAATGTCAGTGTAATGTCAATGATAATTTCAATTAGAATTACTAATTAAAAAAAATTAAATACAATTATTAAGATTAAAATTATTTTATACAGTAATAAAAAAAGAAACATTAAGAAGTAACACAATACATATTTTAAAGATCGTTTATCAGTTGAGACGCTACCCTTTTAAAGCGACGGAAGGGGTCTGAGAAAATGTCCAAAGTTTGTGTCTTTCGACGTTTTTTCGAAGTACATGACATGACACCTTTGAATATAATTTGTTCACTCCCGATATTACCAATATCTTAGTTATGTATCTCGTTGTAATTCCTCATTAAACTGTTTAGAGGAGCATAATGGCCAAAATGCGACCGTGCTAACTTTGTGACGAATGGGGTGTATTTCTTATACCTGGGCGATCTTCTGGGAATAGAAAAATTAATATGAGATATAACGTCTGGAGCGTCAATGTAGCCATTTATCATTTTGTAGAGGAACAAGGTGTCCGACATCGCTCTGCGCTCAACGAGAGGTTTCATATGAAAGTATTTCAAACGATCCTTATAACTAGGCAAGAGTTTTGCTAAATTACAACTGTACGTCAAGTGCCACAGGAATCTTTTTCGTACACCTTCTATACGTTTTTTGTAACGTCATAGTGCGGGTTCCACACCATGCTGCAGTATTCTAAGCTACTACGCACAAGTGACATATAGATTGCGATTCTTGTGCTCGGATTTTTAAACTCCCTACAGGTACGTAAGACAAACCCCAAAGTCTTGAAGGCTTTTTTAGTAATGCTACCTATATGTAAATTGAATCGCAATTTGGTATCAAGAATTACACTCAAATCTCTAAATTATCAACCTCTTTTAATGGTACATCGTCAATGCAATAATATTTAGTCACTGAGAGCTTTTTCTAGTGAAGCGTACCACGTGGCATTTGTCAATAAGCACGCTCATACCATTAGATTTGCACCATAATAATAGATTGTCCAAGTCATTTTGAAGCAGCAATACATCCTCTAATGAATTTACTGATTTAAAAAACTTCAAATCATCGGCGAACATGTAAAACTTAGAATTTTGGAAACACTTACCACTTACCATTAATAAAAATGTAGAACAGCATGGGACCCAGATGGGATCCTTGAGGAACTCCGGAAACGGCAGTAAAAAAGCCAGATTTAAAACTCCCACCTACCACCACAGACAGTCTATTCGTTAGGTAAGATCTGAACCAGCGCAAGAGATTACCGCCTATACCGACACATGATAATTAGTGCAATAACATATCGTGACTGACTTTATCAAAAGCCTTACTAAAATCAGTGTATATGACATCGAAAGACTGCGCATGATCAACACCTTCGGCCAGGCCTTCAACGAAGGATATCAGGTTAGTCGTGGTGGAGCGGACTTTCTTAAAACCGTGCTGTTCCGGCGCAGTTAATTGTCTTAGATGCCAAGACATTAAAGGGCACAGTAATTTTTCAAAGAATTTAGCAAACACCGTAATAATTGATATTGGCCTATAGTTTTTCACTGAGTTTATATCAACTCCTTTGTGTAACGGTATAACAAGATAAGTTTTCCAAGCACTGGGAAAAGTTCCAGAACAGAGAGATTTATTAATTATCAAGGACAGAGGTAAAGCTAGAGCATCAGCACATCTTACAGCAAAGATAGATGGTATTCCATCTGAGCCAGCGCCTTTAGTGGAGTCAAGTCTCTTTAAGACTATAAATACTTGGTCTTTATGTTGTGAAAACTCGTGTTTTACTGGAAATGAGGCATTCCAACTTAGTCCTCACGGGTGGCAACGCATCTGCATTTTGATTCGCAAACGAGGATAGATGTAGATGTCTATGGGCCGCAGCAACCATTTACCATCAGGTGGACTGTGTACTCGTTTGTCACCCTTATCCTGTAAAAATAAAAAATAAAATAAAAATAGTCACTGAAATACCAGTAATAAAGTTAGAGACGGGGGATTTATCTGCATAGTGCTCGTCCGGAATGGATAGTTTATCAATATTATAGACTGAAGAGAACTGTGAACCAAAGAGTTCACAGATATCCGAGCCATTAGTGGCAAGAGTAGTTCCAGAAGACATTTGGGCTGGGTAGGTACTACTACTGCCTCTTTTGTGCTTAATGAAACTCCATAGTAGCTTAGGATTTGATTTAATTTGATGATTACGCCGCGAGCGTCTTGTAGTTAACATCTGTGATAGTTTGCTCCGCATATAGATAAGTGCATTGTAGCTAAAAAGTAAATTACTAGTATCTATTTGGCAATTTTCTTAAAGTATTTGATTTGGGCTATCTAGTGGTGAACTCTGTTTTTAATTTCGCGTTGTAACATTCAAGTTATAAACAAATACATTACAAAAATTGTATTTGGCCGTTACGTACTGACCTACGACAACCCGTAGCGCTCTTGTTGCTGTGAGTCACCGTCACTTGTGGCTAGCCGGCCGCCGCGCTGTCGAGTGCATCAAGCTGTGTAGTAATCGAGATGACGTCACGCCAAGTAAACTGCGCGGAATGCCGTGGTGTTATAATGGAAGACAGCGCATTAATGAGGTGCACCAAATGTAAACAATACTAAGATATTCTGTGTGCCAATTTTAATGTTGAAGTATTTGCAACAATGTCATCAAAATTTAAAAAGACGTGGATATGTTTCGAATGCCGTAGCAAAATACCTAAGCTTGATAATTCACATACGCCAGTGCGCCAGCAGTTGAGCCACGACACGACTGCCGTTGGGGATGGCTTGGATGTATCGATGCATACCCCGGATAATGTCACGTTCCGAAACGGAAAGCGTCCTGCGCAATTAGTGATAAAGAGTAACCCGTGCCCCCAAAATACGGTTCCTTTAGTACATGAAATAAAATAAATGCAGGACTATGCAGCGGCGGTACAGCACCCTTCAAACGTTGATAGTGGGAAGACTAAGCCGAATGTAAAATCTGGCACTCAGCAGAAAAATAAGGGACCTTCGGGCAAACCTAATCCACCTGCAAAAGTAAACGCATTCATCTCTTCTTTAGCGCCAGTTTCAACTTTAGTCTCTGATTCCGTAACTTCAGTTTTGAGTGTGAGCCATGAGGCAATTCTTGCACCCCGGGAATGCGCGGAGCAAAAAGACCCGGAAGAGTGGATACAGGTGAGACGTAAATCTGGACGCGCATCATTGCCCAGCGTTCTTCGCAGCACAGCGCTGCGAGTGACGAAACTGCGTGCATCTGAGAGCTGGAGGTACTTGCATCTCTACTATGTCCAAGAGGGTACCACAGTGGAGGAGGTGCGTGCTCATCTCCACTCTATTAGTGGAAACAATGATTGCTCAGTGGAAGAACTGAAACCTAGGGGGCGTTACTCATCGTTCAAGCTGGGAGTCCCGTCGAGAATTGCCGACAGTGTTATGTCAACAAACAACTGGGCTGAAGACATCTGTATAAAACCGTGACGTCAGAACTTTCGTGCCAAGGATAAAAGTGCGTAAACTATATTTTTGTTATGAAAACGTTAGAGGTCTACGTACAAAATCGAATACTTTTAGGAATAATGTGACTCAATGTAAATTTGATATTATAGACTTGACTGAAACCTTTTTGAACAGTTCCGTATCTGACGGCGAATTATTTACTTCGGAGTATTTAGTAGTGCGTAAAGACCGCGCAGGCAACGTCGGGTGGGGAGGAGTGCTCCTTGCTGTACGAAACGGTTATACAGTGCAACAAGTCACTAATATAGATACTTATACGCCTGATATGGAACTGCTTTTCGCCATTGTTGGTGGAAAAAATGTTGAAAAGTTTTTATGTTGCGTCGTTTATTTGCCTCCTATATGTTGTGATAATCTATATCTCAACGTCTTGACGTGCATTGAAAATGCTATTATTTCATATTCCTCTCTGAATGTCTTAATAATAAGAAATTTTAATTTGAACTCTTGTAGCGTTAATGTTAAGACTAATTTTAATTATTTTTTTGACTATAGTGGGCTTCAGCAACATAATATTGTGTATAACAAATGTGATGGCATGTTTGATCTAGTCTTGAGCAATTTTAACCCGGAGCAGATCTTAGTGTCTGAGGGTTCAGAACCCTTAGTACCAATTGATAAGTACCACCCCCCGCTGGAGGTGACGCTCAGGTTTCAGTGCGACGCGCTGAACCAGTCGCCGTCCTCTCCACCACCGGCTCAGCGCCCGGGAGCTGCTTCAAACTGGAATTGGCGTAAAGCAGACTTTCTGGGCCTATACACGGCATTAATAAGGCATTAATAATTGGTCGGACATTTTTGTAATTGCAGACGTTGACGACGCAGTTACGTTATTCTATCACCGTCTTTATAATTGTATCATTCAATATGTTCCAACTAAATCCCGTTATATGTCGAATTATAAGTACGTATATCCAAAATGGTTTAATGCTGATATTAAAAATAATATACGTAAAAAATATTATCATTTGAAACGGTATAAGGCTGAAGGTAAAGAGTTTAACAAGGAATTATTCAAATACTATAGGTGGCATGTTAAAAATTTGATTGAAAATGCATATAAGCAGCAATTACATCTGACAGAACAAAATATAATTAACGATCCAGCCAAATTCTGGGAGTACATTAAGGATAGGAAGAATCACAGGCAGCGTACGAATAATTATTCATTCGGTGGTGTTGAAGTTGTTGGACAATCCGCAGCTGTCGCTTTTGCTAACTATTTTAGTTCGGTGTATCAGGATGAGGTACCTGTACTAAACCATGTTGATGCGGTACGTGCCGCAGATAGTCAATGTGATTCTACTTCAATCACCATAAATATTGTTGACACTACCAAACTGAAAGAAGCAGTAAGGCACCTAAAACCGAGATCGTCGGGTGACCCTGACGGTATCCCTGTTTTTTTAGCAAAGGACTGCATATCGGCTTTTGAGAGTCCACTCCTGTACCTTTTTAACTTATCACTGACTCACTCTAAGTATCCAGACATTTGGAAAGTTTCTAGGGTCACTCCGGTTCCAAAAACTGATGGTGAAAACGACATTTTGTATTTTAGACCGATTGCAGTCTTATCAGTCTTTGCAAAATTATTTGAGATTGTCTTATGCCAGCAAGTTAATAAACAAACTCAGAATTTATTGCATGATAGTCAACACGGTTTTCGAACAGCCCGTTCTACCATTTCTAATCTTGTGGCTCATCTTGACTATATATATGCTGAGTTGGATGCTGGTAGGCAGGTAGATACTGCGTACTTCGACTTTAAAAAAGCATTTGACCTGGTCGACAATGATATCTTACGTATACGTGTTACGTAAATTGGCGGTGATAGGCTTTTCCCCAAAACTTGTCGATTTTTTGTCAAATTACCTACGTGATCGGCGTCAGTTTGTTAGAGTGGGTGCATTTGAGTCTAGTGACTATTACACAAGATCTAGGGTAAGTCAGGGAAGTACGTTGGGGTAATTCCTTTTTCTTATTTTCATTAATGAGTTACCGAATAACGTGGTTTCCTCAAAATGTCTGTTGTTCGCGGATGATCTCAAATTAAGCCTAAGTGTAGATGGCCCGTCTGACTGCGAGGCATTGCAAAGAGACATCAGTGCGGTTTTGGATTGGAGCGTATTAAATCGTCTTCTCTTTAATGATAATAAATGTAAAATAATAACATTCACGCGTAAACGCTCTCCACTAAATGAAGACTATAATTTATCTGACACGCCCTTAGAAAGGGTAAGCGAAATACGTGACTTAGGATTATTATTAGACGCTAAACTTGACTTTCATAACCATGTGACTTCTGTATGTTAAAAGGCCAGTAAAATGCTTGGCTTCATTATTCGCACTTCTTCACAGTTCGACGGAATAGGGGTCGCTTTGGTACTTTACAATGCATATGTTCGTTAGCTTGAATACGGTGCCATTGTATGGAATCCCTATGAGGAGAAATATATTTTGATGATAGAGAGAATACAGCGCAAATTTGCACGATGGCTATATAATCAGAATTACGGTTATTACCCCTATATATATTCGTCCTTATTTGTTACTGGTATGGTGGGTTTGGACACTCTTAAACTTAGGCGGACTATGCAATTGATAACATTCTACCTAGCAATCATCCATAACAAAATAGATAGCCCGACAATATTAAGCAGAGTGGGGTTATTGGCTCCGAAGTGGCTGGGCTATGATGGTGAGGGGACGGTGGCACCGCGGCGGCGGCCGCGTCTTCTGTGGCGGCCGCCGGCGTGCACCAGGTGCGGCGCTCACGCGCCCACTACTCGCGTTATACGGCTTATTGGAGATATGCTCGCACATGATTACGAGACTGACTTATTTGCTGATAGCTTTAGGCAACTATGTAATAAAGCCCTTTTATTTTTGACATCCAATTTTGACATATTGTAATATATTAATTTAATCTTAGCTGTAGATAGAGGATTGACTAGATAAAGCATTCGCGTATGCTTTTGAGATAGAAATAGGCGGGAGGTACTTTTACTGGGTTACCAGATATTGTTCCATTTCCCCCGTTATGGGTTTATTTATATTCACAGCACTTACATACATACATACGTACATAAACACTCACGCCTGTCACCCAGAGGGGTAGGCAGAGACTACGGACTTCCATTTGGCACGATCCTGACACACCTCTCTCGCCTCTTTTACATCCATATATCTACGCATACACGCTCGTCGGTTAAGGGTACTCCTAATCTGGCCCATTTTTAATGTATCGCCGATTTGGTCGATAAACCTACGTCTAGGGCGTCCCTTCCCGACCCTGCCGTTCACTTCTGCAACATAAATTTGCTTTGTCACTCTTTCTTCGTTCATTCTTAGACCAAACCACCGAAGCATTGCTTTCTTAATCCTTGTCACAACGTCATCTTGCAAACCACACTTTTCTCTTATCACACTATTTCTCACCCTGTCATTCAGATTCAGCCCTAGCATACTCCTTAAGGAACGCATTTCTACAGCATTTATTCTACTCTCATGCTTCTTCTGCCAGACCCAACTTTCACTACCATACATTAAAGTAGGGACTAACACAGCATTATGAATTGCCATACGTGCCTTAGTTGACACATTCTGACTCCTCATAATAGCGTGTAGAGCCCCATTAACTCCATTTCCTGCGTTCACTCTTCGTTCTATATCCTTATCATATCTACCATCCCTGCTAAATAAACACCCCAAATATACATACTCATCCACTTGCTTCGCCTGCCGGTACGAGGCTGCCACTCGAGAACCTTTCTTCCCCATCGGTTGTCGGTTCTTCGAGCTATATGGCCGGCCCATTGCCACTTCAGCTTACTAATCCGTTGGGCTATGTCGGTCACTCTAGTTCTACTGCGGATATCCTCATTTCTGAGTTTATCACGCAGAGAAACTCCGAGCATAGCCCTCTCCATAGCTCGCTGAGCGACCTTGAGCTTCCTCATCCGGCCAGCAGTGAAGGACCACGTCTCAGTTCCATATGTCATCACTGGCAACACGCACTGGGTGTACAGTCTCGTTTTCAAGTTTTGAGGTATACCTGACGAGAAGATGTGTCGTAATTTCCCGAACGCTGCCCAACCGAGTTGAATCCGTCGATTGACCTCTCGGTCGAAGTTGGACTTACCTAGTCGGACTATTTGTCCCAGGTAAACATACTCGTCAACAACTTCGAGCTTAGTGTTCCCAACAACTACCGGCATAGGTGTGACATGGACATTAAACATGATCTTTGTTTTGTCCATGTTCATCTTAAGACCTATCCGTTGGGAAACACTATTGAGGTCATTGAGCATAGTGCTTAGGTCCTCCAGCGATTCTGCCATAAGGACTATATCGTCGGCAAATCGAAGGTGAGTGATGTACTCGCCATTGATGTTGATACCGTATCCTTTCCAGTCCAGAAGCTTGAAAACATCTTCCAATGCAGCGGTAAAGAGTTTCGGGGATATGAAAGGGCGTCCCCCCACTAGATGGAGTGACGACCTGGTAAGATATGCAGGAAGTCGATGGATGCAGGTGGCTCAGGACCGTGCTTTGTGGCATTCTTTGGGGGAGGCCTATGTTCAGCAGTGGACTTGTGAAGGGCTGTAATGATGATGATGATGATGATCCACTTGCTCAATCAACTCCCCTTCTATTCTTATTTCACATAAAGTTTTACTTTCTTCTCTTTCAAAAACCATCACTTTCGTCTTACTTGCGTTCACTTTCATATCCCTTTCTTTCAATGACCAGTTCATTAAAGTAACCATCATTTGCAACTCGGCCGCCGACGATGCAAATATGACTTGATCATTGGCGTACAAAAGGCATTTGACGGTTGACTCACCCATTCTCAACCCACATTCTTCAACTTTCAAAGTCTGCAAACAACTGTCCATAAATAGGTTAAACAGCCACGGGGAAGCCACACATCTCTGTCTGACACCTTTATGAATGCCAAACCAGTCCGAGTAGACCCCGTTGATCCTGACACAAGCACTAGAGTCCCAATAAAGAGACCTTAATGCCTGTATCAAGCCAGCGCTCAACCCAAATGAGTTCAGTGTTTGCCATAACACATTCCTGTCTACTCTGTCATAAGCCTTTTCCAAGTCCATGAACGCACAAAAGACTTTCTGGTTTTTGGCCAAAAACTTCTCCGCTATCATGCGCATGGAAAAGACTTGATCCGTACATCCCATCCCCTTTCTAAATCTTACATTCATACAAAATACACTTACATTCATACAAAAAATTTAATTGTTACCATAAAAAAATGTTCTTTTATAATTCAGATGATGAATTAATTTCTCTTGAAAATACATTCTGTGACTAAGAACTACGGGCGGAAACGGCGTAAAAACAGAGTCATCATTCTGTATTCAACGGCGCATCGACGATTTTACTGGACATTCAATAACTCTTTGGATTTCGACGGCACTAAGTGAAGGTGCTAATAGCACAAAATGTGATATCGCTAATAAATAACAATATGTTACGTATGGACTTAAATATTAATTGAGAATAAAAATATTAAATAAACAAAAATTTCCTTCGTCGAGTTATGTTGTTTTTACAAAAAAAAAATCAATAATGTTTTAACATACCATTCCATCACAAGTTCAGTGCTGAACACAGACCTTCGAAAGGAAAGGGTTTCCACTTAGGTTTAGTAGTACAAATCACGGTTATTGAGCCAACTCCCGCGATTTCCTGCATGTTTTGCTAAGTTAGTGTAGAGTGTGTAGTGTGTAGAGTGTGCGGCATGTTGTGGCGTACAAGAGAATTTGTCTGTACACGGGATGATATTATCCCGCGTCGTAAGCAATAATACAAGATGGGGATGGGGCAGCAGCACTTTCCTGATGAAAACTTAAAATAATAAAAAACTGCGGTGGCCAACCAGCATAACACATATTTTCACGCAGGCGTGGCAACTATGGCAAAATTCATCCTATGAGGATATCTATGGAAGGCCTTTTTTAGGTGACTTACTTATGGTTAGATGGCTTAATCATGTTACCTAATGGTTAAGGTGGTAAAATGTTTTAGTTAATATACGTTGTAAAGCGTCAACAAAGGGTTTGTTTTTGTAATATGTTGGTATATAAAATAAAAACGAATGTTTTATAATATTCTATATTAATTTACCATGCAGTGTAAGATTATCTGCTATCTCATATCATTCCATGGGTGGTGTATGAGGCGACATAGGAAAACATCAAAGAAGATAAACAGCAGCATTATCCTGATAACAGCTAAATAAAAAAAACAGTGGTTGACAACTCGCTTTCCAAGCGTTGAAACTATGCCAAATAACTATAATCATGTTTATGTTCAACAGTGGACTTTTGATAGACTGTAGAGATATATATTCTATTTAAATGAAAATATATTGAAATTTAAAAAGGAAAAAGACTAAATTTCGTGTATTTACATAACATTTAGAAATATCAACAATGTTACATTAAGTAAAATAAATGAAAACACAATTATATATTAAATACAATTCAATAAAATTAAAATAAACAAACGATTATTTATTAATTTTTGATCACATTAATAAACAACAAATTTAACAAAATTTTGTCTTCTTTCTGGAGCATTCGTTGTAATGCTTGGTTTGAGTAGCTTTGGAATTTCTCAAAAATGTGCATTTGTAAACTTGATTTATACTTTTGCATGGCCGAAATTCTTGGGTGCTGGTCATTAGAATCGGATTAGAAGTGAGTATCTATTTATATATATATATATATATATATATATATATATATATATATATATATATATATATATATACATACATATTATTTGCCTTGTA